GATCGTGACAATTGCTACATAGGTTGCTACTGCGAGGACCTTCCCTACAGATGTGAATGTTTGTGCTCTGAATAATAATTTGTTGTGCTCTTTCACGTGCATGATTCAGTACTGTGTTCTCCTTTGCGGTGGTGATTTCGGTTGGTTGGTTTTCTCTTGTAGTCTTTGATTTCCTTTCCTATAGTGAGGAGTTGGGACTGCTTTGTACGTACGAGTTTTAATTTCTTTCGATCTTTTTCTTCATCAATGAAAATAAGGACGCGCGGATCTTGCCATCTTTAGTTTATTTCTTGATAATCCAAATCAATGCAGAGGGTGCGCGCAATAATGAATAGACCAGAAAACCTAATACGTAACCCTAGCTAATCCGCAAATCCTACCGACTAATAATAATGACTAATATATTGACCACTAGCACTCCCTCGGCCGAACCTCCTCCCGCCGATCGTGCTCCATCAACCAATATTTCACTGGCTTCTCTAAAAAAAAAACCCAATTATTTCACTGGCTAAAACAATCGGAAAACCCAAACGACCGTTAACTGACGTTTACACTTATATTCTTTCCTTACATAGATGACATAATATGGCGAGAACATGCTATTTTTGTATGTACAAGAATAACATGATATCACAATCAAACCAGCTTTAATTTGATGTCATGTAATAAACCAACTGATCTCAACTGTTGGAAGAAGCACACCCATAAATGGATCTCGTACTACTTTATTACTTAGAGGACATAATATGCTGAGAAGAACACCGATAGTACTTCACAATCAAACCTGCTTTGATATCAGGTCGTAAACCAATTAACTAATCTAAATTATAATAATGCATGCACTTCTGGGGCCCGAGACTCTTGATGAAGAATCTTTTCCTTTTTGGGTTATGTATGGAAAGATAGAAGTAATATGACAACAATTTTAGGTATTCATTTAATTTTGCTAGGTCTAGGATCTTTTATTGTAGCATTCAAGACTCTTTTTTTTTTTTTTGGGCGTATATGAATTATGATACCTGGGCTCCTGGGGAATGTAATAAAACTTACCAACTTGACCCTTAGCACAACTATTACTTCTGCTTGTTTACTAAAATCCCCTTTTGGGCAGAGTGCTTTCGCCGTTGTGGTGTTCTTTCCTAATCTCTACGCATTTTACCGCTCCACCGGAAGTTCCCCTCTGCCCGGCCAAATACCGTACTCCAGCTAAACCAATTAATAACTAATCTCAATTATCGGATGAAGCATGTCCACGTACGTATACAAATCTTATACTACTTTCTTACATCGACGACATATAACATGTCGAAAAGAAAGAGCTAACTACTAGCTAGCTCTTCTCCATGCATTCTCATGTACAGCCGAGCTAGCAGTGTCAGCCACGAGATGGCGGAGTTTTCTTCGTGTCTCTATGTCTAGATATTCTCGTGGACGAAAACAATGTTAAAAATGGAGTTCATATCACGTTATCTTTTGCCGTATTTTATCTATAGGAGAAGGATGGCCAAGTCGCTTTTGCGTACTATTGGTTACAACTTATAATATATATATATATATATATATATATATATATACATGCAAGCAGGCAGCAGCTGCTCAAGAGAAAGAAAGAAAGAAACAGAGCATATATATATATATAGCCATGGCGATCGCCGGTACTATTGCTAAGTTAGCCGCCGCCGTCGTCTTGCTTCTAACCCTTCCATGTATTCATTCGAGGGCAATCAGTCCGCAGTCCGAGAATGTCGATGATGCTCCGACTAACGTCAGGTATATATATGATAGTTACGATCATGTGATTTTCAATTCAATCTTATCAATCACACAAATTCGATCCATCATTTTCGTTGCAGCAACCACCGGAACTTGGCCATCCAGCTGCAGCCTAAAAGAGGAAGAGATGCAGTCGTCATTTTACGGCCTCAAGCATCCAACAACAAGACGGATTCAGTAGTACAGGGATGGTGCAGTACTTCTTGCAACGACCAAAATTGTCGGTGGTGGTACCCATACTTGTGCGATGGTCAAGATCGTGACAAATGCTACATAGGTTGCTACTGTGAGGACCTTCCTTACAGATGTGACTGTTTGTGCTCTGAATAATAAAATAATGTGTTGTTATTTAGATATACATGTGTTAAGTTAGTATACGAGTGGGAGAGAGCCAACTTCGATATACTTAGAAGAGATTACATATTACAAGCGATGTATTTAGTCAATGCATGTAATGTCAAGATTAATTCGTTTTTTTGGTTAAATTTGTGACAGAATACATGTATTATCTTTTTCTGGGCCCACCTATAATCACTCAAAATGGTGACAGTTTGTCGTCTCCACATATATAATACAACGGACGACTCGCCTTTAAATAGAACTTTTAGAGAGGATCTGTAGACTTCAGTTTTATACATATCGAGACGATATGTCGACCCTATAAATAGAAAAGAGGACGATATAGTATGCTCATATATCCAAAACACTATCATGAAATGGATTATAGGGGACGACATTTTGTCCCTCAAAATATTGTTTAGGGAACGATTTATCGTCACTAAAGTCATGTTTATAGGGACGACTTGTTGCCATGTATGGAATAGACACAAGATAACGACTGTCGTCCCTAATATTGGGGACAACCTAATTTTATGTCGTCCCCAAAAGAGTAAAGTACAAGAGTATAGGGAACCACACATTGAGGACGACTTAGTAGTTCCCAAAAATCATGGGGACGATTTTTCCTATTTTCGAGGACGACTTTTGTCATCCCCAAACCTCTTCTTTTTTGTAGTACATGTGTTAGTTAATTAGCTCACGGGTGAGAGAGAGTCAATTTCATTATACTTGAGGAGATTACATATTACCGAGTAGTATGAGAAATATTTATAGTATACTTCTCCGACGGCCTAACCCTAATTCAATTTATTGTAAAGAAAAAGGTTGGAAAAAGGTTGCATACCATATCCAACCCAGAAGTTCAAACGTATACAACGAGATCTCGATGACTTTTAGATCATCTAATTCTTCAAGTCACATCGCATAACCTTGTAGTTTGGGAAATTTTCATCCATGGAATAATTGGAATTCCACTTCTTATCGGTTGTATACAACACATTCGATCTTCCCATTGCTTCTCTTGTTTTTGACCACTTTTGCCGGCTGATAAAGAGATGTTTGCTGGATTATGCCTACATATTTAACTCTAAAGTCGGCTTATGCATTTTGTTTTTGTTTGTTTTTGCTTTTCCGGATGGGATCCCCAAGTGGGTTTATTTTCGGTTGCTAGGCATGCAGCAAGAAATACATAATTTGGAAGAACAGTAATATTATTAGCTTGCGATATAAATACCCATTTTTAATAATTCGAGCGGTTGAAAGACATCCGTATACGCGTGCATTCTATTAATATTGAATGATGTGAGAACTTAATAAATACGATACCTCACATTCGAACCAACTCTAAATAGTATCTTAAACCAATTTGTCCAAATAATTCGAGCGCGGTAGAACATCATCATAAATAGCTTTGTCTCTGTCTATATATTCTTGTGGATGATAACAATGTTAAAAAGGACTTCATTCTCGTGGTTACACTATATATACATGCAAGCAGCAGTTGCTCGAGATGCACCAAACCTAACCTAACCAACTTTCCAAAAAGATATCTTCAAGAGAAAGTAAGAAAGAAAATAAGAAACAGAGCATATATAGCCATGGCGATCGCCGGTACTATTGCTAAGCTAGCCCTTGTATTGCTTCTCATCCTTCCATCTATGGATTCGAGAGCAGTCCGCAGTCGAAGAATGTCGACGATGCTCCGACTGACGTCAGGTATATAGTTTATGGTGATGGATGATATAGTTTTTTTCTGGAAAGATGGTAATTTTGTTTTTTTATTTATTTTACATCAAGATAATTTTATGTAACTTACTCGTACCGTATCTTACTAACTACTGCAGCAACCATCAAAACTTGGCCTCTCAGCTGCAGTCCGGAAGAGGAGCAAATGCAGTCATGATACCTCAACCATCCAAGAACAATACGGATTCAGTACAGGGATGGTGCAATAATTCTTGCAACGACCAAAATTGTCGTTTTTGGTACCCAAATTTGTGTGATGGTCAAGATCCTAACAACTGTTACGTGGGTTGCTACTGCGAGGAGCTTCCCTATAAGTGTTACTGCTTGTGCCGTGCATAAAATACCTTCTGTTTAGTTGAACGGAAGAGATCCATCGATGACGTGCATGCGTCGAGGCGCCGGAGCTTGGTTTCCCGATCCACCACTTTGTGTTCCTTTTCAATGTATGATTTTTATTCGCTCTATACGAGTTTCAATTTCTTTCTTTACTTCACGAATAAAAACGAGGATGGATCTTGTCATCTTCATTGAATAATTTAATATATATGGTTCAGGCTAGCATACGCCCGGGCGTACGGTAGTCGTTTGAGTTTTGCTATTTAGATCATGAATTAACAGGAGTTTTGGGCCTGATACTATACCCTAACCACTAATGGATAGACCCCAGTCCCTAGTTTTCTAACCTAAATCATGAGATTCGTTTAATCTTAAAATGAAAATCAACAATAATTTCGACGAATCAGAACCGTTGATCTTCATTTCAAGATTAAATGAATATTATGCTTTGGGTTAGTGAATTGCGGACTGGGGTTCACCCATTAGGGGTTAGGGTATAATATCATGCCCCAAACTCCGGTTAATTCATTGTCTAAATAGCAAAACTCAACGGGCCTACGGTAGGCTAGGGTACGTCCGAGCGTACGCTAGCCTTATATATATACTTCAAAATCTATGGAAAATGGCCGGTCGAATTTTTTCTTACTTTTAATTTCATTTTGGTACCTAGAACTTCTAAAAACACCACAAACAATATTAATTTAATAAATATCAACTTAGGAACCAAAAATTATCAAATCATTTTAAGTTTTTTAAATTCTATTTTTTGCTTAATTTGAAAATGATAAATAATAGAAATTAGAAAATAATTTGAATTTGTATTTTTTATGACCAAAACTTATTTGGTTACTAATACTATTCATGACCAAAACATTTTGGTAGCCTAATTGGTCACTATAGCTGCGTTACGAATTGCTATGACAACCAAAATGGGGACTGGTAACGAAAAGGAAAGCTATGGAAGAGAAAATGACGTAGCTGGTCCCAAACTACAGAAAATGACGTAGTATAGCATAGCAATGGCACAGAATACATTCGGTGACCGAACCATCTCCCAGTAGAGGCTTCACTCTTTCCTCACCGAAACATGCTGTTAGACTGCTCTCTTCACGATCGCTGCGTACAACGGACGCCTGTGAATTAACTATATAGGATAAGAGTATCCGCGGAGATATTTGGAATCCACGCCTGATTCGCGAACGAGAGCTATTCTTCCAGTTCGTGCAACCTGCAGGTAGAGGAGCAAGACATTTTGAGTCACATAAACACATAGTTTTGAGGTGCATCGGCAAAAGAAAGGATGAGAAGAAAGAACCTCGCAGATGCCAAAGGGCTCCAACAATCTCTGCAGAGCAACCATCTTGTCCAGATCTCCCGTAAGCTGCAACAAGTGTTGTTGGAAAGTGAATTCATCGGAGTCAAATTTTTGCCATTTTGAGAAGCCATGGAGTCGAGGTTGGGGTCTACAAAGGAAACAAATATGCAGTCCTATTATGTTTGAGACAGCCAGTCACTAACCTCGAGGGTTATGGTGTGGTCAGAGACATCAACTGCTTTTGCCCTGAAAATGGTGGCAATATCAAGGACGTCGCGGCGAGCGGCAGCGTTCACTGCGATCTTGATCAACATCAGTTCACGTTCAGCGAATGGCGAGGAGGTAAGATCGTGAACCTGAAAAAGGAGTAGACTGTTAGTTGGGATGGGAAGCACTCTGCCAATAATACTTCCAAATTGATTATTCAACCCAAAAATAATCAGCAGCACTGAAGAGCATGATGATTGATAAGTTAAACACGTCCAAGACAGATACGTTCTTATGTACAGTAAATAGAACAGGTTGCTAAAACTCGCCTCTGACTATGTAAGGCAATGTATAAGGATATAGTAAGTTTGTTAACATAGCAATTCCGCCACTTACCTCATGAAGGTCTACTAGCTTATACAGTTGCTGCACCAACTTACTGACCGATTCATCTGTAGCAGGTACGACAGTTGTAATACGCGAGAGGCCCTCCTTCTCAGAATGCCCAACGGCTAAACTCTAACGACCAAGAAGAAAAGACATTCAACACAATGTCCGAGCATATTAATGTCATAAAGAATAGCTCAAAGCACTAATAGTTAACATACCTGAATATTATAACCTCGTCGAGAAAAAACTCCAGTAACAAGGTTGAGAACTCCAGGGACATCATTTACAAGCATGGACAAAGTATGTGATCGAAGACCACTTGTCTGAATAAAATAATCAACACTTCTCATTAATCTGTTCGACGAACTGAACTGTAAACAGAAGCAAGCTTTCTTACATCTTCCTCATTTAGAACACCCCAGTGTGCATCAAGAACTCGATGAACTGGAAAGCCATCAGACTGCTCCACAGGATAAACATCTCCCTGAATTAACACGAAAAATTACATAAAAATCAAACAAATTAGTAATTTCAGCAAATCAGAACCAAGAAAACCAATTGAAGGCAAAATGACATCAGGAAATAAAGTAACAAACTTGATTTCTAGAAACAAGCATACATAAAGGGTGAGACCAAATGGAAACAGAAACATTCACAGAATGTGGTAGTCAAAAAGTCCTTTACTGGGTTGAGGATAATTATCATTGAAAAGTGAACAACTCAGTCACCAATATGGAAAGTAACAAACAGTCAATACTCATGGTAAATTATGGCATCAACTTCACTGCATACCCCTGCAGTCGTATCAGCTTCAGTGATGACTGCTCTACTTGTAACCGCTGAGAATCCATTGTCAGCCCCATTCTCTCCGAGATCAGGATACGAAGAGGCAGAGAATCGCCAAAAGGGAGCAGTGGCACCCATTTTTTCTCTTCTCAATGCAATCTAAGGCAAGGAGGAAGTTCATACATTAGCATAGATGAGTTGGAAACAAGAGCATTATGATGAGAACAGATCCCAAAAGCAACCTTGCCAGTTCTAGCAATTTCTTTGATTCCAAACTTGCTTAGATTTCTCTGCACAGCAACCATTTTCCCTGGGTCTCCAGTCACCTAAAAACCCAAAACAGAATTAAAAAGCAGAATATGCTACCAGGATGCAAACCCTACTTCTCAAAGAGTGCAAAGGTTGATTGTAGAAAAAAGATCAAATTTTTTAAACATATCGACTCCACTAGTCAGTTTTCAGGGAAGAATTTACAGATTCCATTGCAATTTCGATCATGTGAGACGTCCTCCCACTGCACTCCTCTAAAGATCATAAGCCATAATCAGTCCCCAACTGAATTAAACAATTAAAAAAGGCAATAAACGAAAACTGCAAGCAATATAGAACGATGAAATCATCCATCCCGCATGATCTATCAATCAGTCTGGCAGAAACATTCTCAGTGATACTCAAGTTCAAGAATCATAACCTCAATTGTGACCGACTGCCCTGAGATATCAACGATTTTCGCCCTAAAGATGTCCACCAACCACTTGATCTGAAATTCAAACCCAGACTAGAATCAATTAGTAAACAAGACATCAAGAAATAAAACAAGCCCCTCACTGGAAAGGGGGGAAACATACACTTAGCCACAGTCAACACACAGCAAAAGCAAAAACCAGCTAACCTCAGCACGGTGCTCAGTTTCAGCATTCACTTTTATAAGCATCAGCTCGCGCTCAACCTGAGGCTCACTGGAGAGATCTTCAACCTATCCAAATGGCAAGCAGACTACATAAAAAACGAAGAACCCAACAAAACAGAACTCACACCTAAAGTGGAAAAAAAAGAGGTTTGAAAATAACAACCTTCAAGACATTGACGAGCTTCTGAAGCTGCTCCACGACCTGCTGCAGCACCCTCTCCGTTCCGGAAACGACAATGGTGAAGAGCGCCTTGTCCTTGTTCAAACCAACGGCAAGCGACTCAATGTTGTAACCTCTCCTCGCGAAAACACCGGCAATCCTATTAATCATCCCGCTCTCATCGCCGACGAAGACGGAGATCGTGTGCCGCCGCACCCTACAGCAAAGGACCAATACACATTCCAGAACAGAGCGAAACGCTACTTCTTCCAATCAAACAACATACTACAAATGATGAATTAGCAATTACTTGGATCTCGGAGCAGGAGACGGCGGCGGGGAGCTGGAGGAGGATAGAGCGGCAGCATCGGCGTTTGCGGCTGCGGCGGCTAGGAAATTCTCCCGGCGAGGGACGGAGTTGTTGTTGAATGATGTTGAGAGGATCGGATAAGCAGGTTTGAAGACCAGGAAAGCTGGCGAAGGTGGATCAGAAGGAGAAGAAGAGGAGGAGAGAGATAGGGAAGGAAGAGGCGCGGAGGCGATTGGAGAAATGGCCGCCATTAGAGCGCCCATGTTGTTCTTTCTTTGGAGCTCGAGTGAACGGCGGGGTCAGTTTATTTTCGCAAGTGGGAAAATGGCGGTGTGGTTTTACTGGTTAGTGAAGTCGCTGAAAAAGAAACGCGTTTCTTTTTTTGCCGAAAAGGGCGTTGGGGACTTTGGCACGTTTACATCATGCACCAACTTTCCAAATAGCCCGGCCCAAACAATTATTTTAACAGACCGGCCCAAACTGATTTCACTAGCCCATCTAAATGGGTTTTGCCACTTTGTATCCCTGGGCTTTACTAAAGGTCTTAACTAAAGAGGGCTGACAATCCATCACAGTAACCAAATAACAATTTGACCCATATCATTAACCCTCGGTTTACGAATGGAACAAAAATGAATATGGATCGAACCAAAATAACATTGGTGTCAATTCAATTATGTCTAATTTCAATCAAGCTTCTTTGTTCAACTATTTTAAAGAAATTATGCCTAACTATATCTAAAGAAAATTGAGAATTAGAATCGAGTGAACATATATTTTGATATATGATCCGATCATATCCAAACATCGACTTTTAGTCCATTGTGCAGGAACTCTGTGACCACTAGTTTCAACTTGCATTAAACAGAGTATAATACAAAGAAGAAAGAAAGTGAAGGAGAAGAGAGGGAGATGATGGATTGATTTGTGGAACCCTGACAAAAGCAAAGCAAAAGGGAACCAAAACAAAAAGGAAAAGGCTAGTTGGAGTGGGGAAGGGAGGACTGGGCAATTTGGCCATCCATGACCATGAGCACAGCAAACAAAGCACCAATAAAAATATGTGTATACTCTTGATCTAGAAAAAGAGAAAGCAAAAGGGTGTATGTGAATGACTTTTGCCAACCCATCAAGCCATTATGCTCATCATATCACCACCACCTCATCACCATCATCATATCTCCCTCAAAAACACTTTTTAAACTGTCTCCTTTCTTTTCTCTTCTCTTCCCCCATACATCCCTTTCACAACTCATCAGCATTTCCCTTCCCCCAACATTCCTCCTCCATTGATGCTGCTTCTTCTTATTGTTGTTTTTGTTCTGTATCTCCATTCTTCATCTTCTTTCTTATGCTCATATGCAAGATCCAGCAGACACCTCCTCCCTACAGAGCTCAAGGTACTTTGCCTATGTTTCATCTCTCCAGCAGGTGAGAGTTTGGATGGATTGTGTGCATTGGATATGAGTTTGTAAGTGTTGCTTGTACATTTATATTTGCTGGCTCGATTTCGTTAAGCGTCGGTGATCGGTGTGGGTCCCATGATTTGAACTTGAAGTGATGGATTGTGCATTACCTCGAGTGGATTCAATACTTGTGCATTACCTTGATGATTGTGTTATTGTGATTATTATTGTTTTTTCTTAATTGTGATTTCGGGTATGAACACTGAAGATTTATTTTGAATTAGTAAATATTTGTGGGGAAAAAGAGAGCACAAACAGACGTTGTAAGAGTAATAAGAGTAAGTTTAGCCATGTTAGCATTATCAATGAAGCCCAACCAATTGACATTTCTATTTGAATGGATCAACCACTAATACATTATTCATTGTTTAATGTTATGGTATATTTTTATAAATAACCAGAACCGTTTAGTTATTTTGCAAGTTCATGGCTTTTGGTCAGAAGTTGTTGAGCTTGAACTGTTCTCCTAATTAAGAAAGGCAAAGAAATCTTTTAGTCAATTGAAGAAATTTAAATTAGGTTTTAAGTTATTTCCATCCCATATATATAATAATTCATTGTTGTAGATGGGTTCATGAATCTTAATTTAATTCATTAGAAAAAGTTGTATCATCATCATTTGAAGTTGTATCAATATGAATGACTTGCATTTCTTGAATGCCAGGAAACCCACCTGGTACCAAAAAGCCCTAAACATGGCTTCTCATTGGAGAGTCATTCCAAGGTCCCAAGAGATTACTTCCACTCCAAGATTGTGGAGATCTCCCACTACAAAATCATCCAAAGAACTTTTCCCTACAACCAACCTCAATAACACCAACAACCCTAGCAAAGGAATTAACAAGCTAAGAAAGTGCACATCCATGAGAGTTGCAACCTCATTCACTAGGGTTTGTCTCTGTGCACCCATCTCGTCTTACAACGAAGTGTTTCGGGCTGATTTCCCACCGAGGAGAAGCAACAGTTACCCTAGATCATCAAAAACGTTTCTCGTCCCGCAAGAAAGAATGATAGCGCAACCGAATCCTGCCAGGCTTAGCACGGAAGGTAGGAGGTCGTTTTTTAGGGGGCAATCTTTGAATGACGATGTGCTTATGAGGAGATTTGTGCTCGAAGAAGAAGCAATGATGGAGGTTAGGAGAAGGACAAATCAAATGGAGATTATTAGGAGGAGGAGTAGTGTGATGATGAGGAAGAAGAAGCTCGCGCCTAGTCGTCTTAGCCAAATGGTGATTGCTGAGGTGGATCATGAGACCATTCAATATTGAGTTTGATTATAGCTTAATTTTTTAGACAAGTTAAGTTTAATTATAACTTGATTATAAATTTTGTTGGTCGTTTTGCAATAAAATGTTGCAATGTTTAGGGTTTAGGGCATTGTTGTTGTGGATTATCTAAAATTTCCAAAGGGAAGATCTCAAATTGGAGTGCAAACCAGAGACATTAGCAAGTAAAACTGTCAATGTACTCTCATAGTCTCTCTCATCTAGTAGACTCTTCATCTACAAGCAAAGCATGAGTTTATTTCCTTCCAACACAAGTCAAGTTACATCATCTTTACTTACACTACACGTAAGATAAATTGCATAGTTTGCTTCAACATTTCTATATTCTTCTTCCTCTATGTCACTAATTCATATACGAGCGAGAACAAAAATGTGTAGCTCTGAGAATGTACAATGTGAGACAACAATGGCAGGGTATTGCATTGATTCAACTGTACCAATCAAGAAAAAAGATTGAATATGTAAGCACAAACAGACTAAAGCACAAGAATGTCCTGCCACTGCTATGTGCTATGCCTGTGATTGGTTTTCAGGGTAGCAGGAAGAATGGAGGGATTCAGAGGGTTTGGTGTTTGTGACTTAGAACCAAATTAGGCATGTCTTCTATTAGTTTACATGTGTTTCCTCTGTATAATGAGCAGTAATGTACACTGGCAAATACTTCAAACTAACTAAACGTCTCAACTTGTCTTCTGAGTCAATCAGGAGGAGATACATTATTTCAGACCACCGGTAAGGCCATAACTGAAAGTACACTAGGTATAAAGTTAACATTTCAAAAACTCTTCATCTAATACCACAAGAACAGAACCTCAAACTCCATTACATCGTCATCTCTATAACTAATGGTTGTTCTTAAAAAGAAAAGCAGGGCAAAACCGTCCTAAAAGCACTAATCATACAACGAACACTGTAACCAACCTCTCCAACCGTGTGTGCTTCAGCCCCCTGTCACAATCCTGCACGAAAATGAGGGGAGACCCCTATTCAACGAAGAGAAAGGAGAGCAATGAATGAAAATCAGTTGAGAAAACTTATTCATCCAGTTAAAGTGTGATACTTGTCATAATAACGCATGGATTCAGTTCACTCTCCAACTAAAATGCAGACGCAGGGCAATATTACTCGCTAAACCCACATAACAATATATAACCTCGACTTAGCACGCTATAAGCACAAAAAGTATAGCAAACTTGGTCTTACAGCAACGGACAAACTGCTAATGGTCGGTCAGACATACATCATTATGGCCCCGGTTAGCTAGTCCTAATCTAGTTGAGGGCAACGAACTTTCAGATGCCAATATATACAACCAACTTTATGAGTGTCTTCTGGGTTCATTTTACTTACCTTATCAGCAGGAGATTTCACCCAGACACAAGCTTTACAACAATGCATATGGAGTTAAGTATGATGAGGGGAACTCTCATGTACTGTGTTGCGTAAATAAGACCTATAAGCTGCCCCTTGAAAGACTTTGTTCGGCCTCCCGAGAATTCAGAGAAGCTCCATCCTCTAGGTCCGAGGAAACGGTCTTCGTTTAGTATGGCTAATGCATTTGCAAGTAGCAGACATCCCTCCAACAAAGTCCACAAACCCATGTCCTGCAGCCATTGTACACACAACAACACTCAGTAATCTTGATCTACCAAAACCCCTCGCACCAGAATTATCAACCAGAAACTCCAGTAGCAACATAAATCAGAAACCCTAGTGAAAACCTAAAAGTAATGCAATGTGCAAAATTAACGAACTTGTGGAGCATTAGAAAAGCCATTAAGCACCGAAGAGAATTCCCAATCGCTGCACATTTCCGGGATTAATCATGAGCATTGAACCCAAAAATTGAAATCCTCAGCTCACCAGTGAGCCCCACATAACTCCCAAACTAATTTCAGAGAAAGCTCGATCAAAATAGGAAAAAGACATATGATCTGGCATTTGAACACAATGCCCATTTCATCCCAGAATCCAGAAATGGCATAATCAAGAAAATCCAGATTGAAATTGAAGAGCGCAAGCAAGAAGCAAACGAAAGTGATTCACAGAGAAGAGAGAGCGGGAAAGAAGTAAGATACCCTGGGAAGAATTGCTTCGGAGTTGGATTCCCAGAGAACGTCCGGCGACTGAAGAGCTAACGTAGAAATTGGTGTTAGATCGGACATGTGCGAACTGACTGACTTTGTATAAGTTGTTGGGTTGGGCCCGAGAAGGATGTGGGCTAGTTACGTGTTTTTTTTAGTTGGTTTAACTAGAAATGGACCACTCAAAAATTGGGCTGGCTTATATGGGCCGGACTGATATCATGGGTGTCAAGCCATACTAAAAGACGACTTGAGCGGGGTTGCTATTGCATGATACTTCTAATGTGCGATATGATAAATTATAAAAGATGAAGAAATTATCCGTGTCCGTGTAATGTTCGTTTCTTATCATTCACAATCCATTTTTGCATGACATTTTCCCTTTCTACATCTCATATTTGTTCAACGCAGAGACCAAACATCATTATACTATCTAAGAACAATCATTCAAAGAACATTTAAAACTAGTTAATCTTTTACTGGTTGAATAGACTCATCATTTTTATGACAATTTATTTTAAAATATACTAGTTTACATATCAATTTCTCATCAAATAACTAATGACTATAGATAACTATTCTCTCTTCCTTCCTTTGGGCTATTTTCTTGTTTCCTAAACAACTATATTGGGTTATGATTCACATGAGCAAGAGTATTTTAGAAGATATAGATTTAGCTAAAGTATTTATAACACGACCCAAAAAAGCTCCACTAACGGGTATTTGAGCAATTTTTTGTAGCCATTTTTTAATGAGAAGATAGAAGAAGGAAGGAGTGGAAATGTGGAATTGGGTAGAAGTTTTGAGATAGTACCAATTACCAAACATAACGGTTAAAGAAAGCATATTTCTTTGACATGGGAGCTTAACAAGAAATAGTCTTCCCGTTAAAGCAAAGTTGGTTGAAGTTAGGCTCAGCTTGAGTGAGAAAGTGGACAACTCAATTCCTTCCTCTCTCTTTCTACTCATTCCCTCCCTCCTCCTCCTCTCTCTCTCTCCCCACCATAATCATCACCATTTTTTTTCCTCTTGTTTCCTCCCATGGAATCATCATCACCATCTTGATTTATAGCAAACCAAAATGGAAAAGGGATACGAAAGAATAGAGTGTGTACAAAATGTAAGTTAGAAGAAAAGTTTTGTGGAGAGATACAAATGGCAGTGTGAAGAAACGGTCTAGTTTTGAGATTTGATAGAGAGACAAGGAGGAAGAGAGGGACAGATAAACAACAACACCACCAACAAAAGGAAAAAAAACCCATTTATAATTGCTAAAAAAGATATCCCCCAGAAAGAACCCACCACCTCTCTCCACTTCCACCAACACCATCCTTCTATAGGAAAGCCAGGTAGAGAAACAAGAAAGAAAAAGAGCAAAAGCAAAAGAGAGATAATTGAAAGGGTCTTCTCTTCTTTTGCTGGCTGGCTGGTAAAAGGGGTTCTTCTCCTTTGGCTGGCTGGGTCTCTCTGTAGTTTTTGCCTCTCTTCTCTTTCCTTTTCCCAACTTTCTTTGCTTCTTGAACCAGCTTTCTGCCATGGTGATTGCTCAACTGGGTCTCCAACCAGGTACTCAATTGCCTCTCCCTTTTTGTTGAGCTTGTTATGTTTCTCTCCCCCCCTTCTCAAAGTTCCTTCCTTTAGCTGTTTCTGTTGGGAATTCTGCTGTTCCTGACTATGATCATCATCTGGGAATATGTGGTTAAAAGGTGGGAAGAGATATTTAAATAATAGTAATTCTTTCGCTCCTCTTTATCTGAGAACTCTGTTTCTCTTGTTAATGTTTGATGGGGATCCGCACCAAGGAAAGATATCTGTATTTTTTTTCTTTTTTTTTTTGTGTATGGGGTTTTTGATTTCCTCTGTCTCTTGGATCTGTTGCCTTCATTTTCCTTGTCTGTATTTTGGCTTCTGCAAATTCTTCTGACAGTCTTGTCATGGAGACTGCAAGCAAACAGCTTACTTGTCTGATATCTCTCTAGCTGAGGAGGGAGAGATGTTTTTTTTTTTTTAATTTTTTATTCTTAATTTCTGTTTTTGGCTTGTTGTTGCTTGTCTATGTATGCTTGCTTGGCTTGGTTACATATGACTTGCTAGTTTGTAGTTGGTCATTTGTCTTGGCAAAAACTGGCTCCACTTGTTTGATCACCAAAGAAAGAAAGAAATCTCTGGAATTGGCTCTTACTTGAGAGGGTTTAGATTCCTTTGATTCTTCTTGTTCTGCTTATTATTTGGCCTGTTTCCCACTTCAAAGTTCATGAATTTGTGAAGATTGCATGTTAAATAGCCTGCAAATTGTGGAGTATAGTCAGTAGATTTGTAAATGTCCAATGGGTTTGGCAGGTTTCTGGACTTGTTCTTGGGTATGGGGTTTAGACTATTTTGGCCCGCTCTCTTGACCTGTATTTTGTTTGTTTTAAACCTACTAAGTACTTTTGCTTGTTCCCCACTTCAAGTTAATGAAATTGTCATATGATTGCTATCATAGATTGATTTGACATGTTCCTTTGGACTGAATGTCTGTTTGTTGAGTACCCTTTACTCTTAAGAATTCTGGAATTCTTTCATCGGAAGCGGTAAGATGCTATGAACTGATCAAGGTTTTCTCTGGACTTGCAGAACTAGTTGTACTGCTTACTTCACCGTCGAGCTGAAAACAGTGATGCGGGAAAAATGGGGAAGAAGGGAAGTTGGTTTTCAGCAATCAAGAGGGTCTTCTTGCCCCATTCCAAGGATAAATTAGCTAATGTAAGTTCTGAAATGTGAAAATTTGATCTCCCAGTAATTATCAGCATTTGCCCTGTTGATTTTGATAGAAGTGTGAACTATATATCAGAAAGGAAACTAATTTTGAAGTCTAGTGCTCATATGATATTTGAATTCATATGCTCGTCCACTTCAGAGTCGGTGTCTTCTGTTGCATCACGGTGAATCAATTTTTAGAGCTAATGAAGGGAGAACTAGTTTTTGTTTCATGGGCTTGCTTTTGATGATAGGCTATAGACTGAGGTAGAAGTTCCACATTTGTGGATCCTTAGCAAGACTTTGAATGATACCTCACAGAATGTAGAGGTCCCTTGGACAATCTTAATATGGTTGCTTTCAATGATCGGTACTAGGCATAGGTAGGAGTTCTATATTTGTTATCCCAGCATTACCTAAAAGGATCCATTTTAGAACTTAGAGGTCGTTTCGGTGAACGATCTTTGATTGTTAAATGTGCACTAGACATTTCAAATGCATCCCCCATTCCTTTCAAATGGATGATTATGTTCAATCCTTCATCCAAAGAGATCCCTTAGGTATTACTGTCCAGACTGTTTCCCCAATTTGCTTATAAGTAAAGACATCAGATGAACATGTAATGACACATTGTTTTAACTTCAATGCAGGAACCAGATAAGAAAAGTAGTAGTAAAGAGAAAAAGAAGAAAGGCATAGGAAAGTTCAGGCAAGGTGAAAGCAGCAGCTCATTTATTCCATTGTTCAGAGAACCGAGCAGTATCGAGAAGATATTGGATGAGGCAGAAAGAGAACACAAACTAACTTTCAGGCCACCAACTCCTCCTGCTGAACAACCTAGAACTCCAACTTTTGTGCCTCCACCTTCCAGATTAGTTTCTTCTTCTCCACGGGTTCCCTCTCTAAGAGTTAGTAGCTCTCCAAGGGCTGCTACTTCTCCAAGAGCCCCATCCCCAAGGGCTGCTGCTTCTCCTAGGCCTCCATCTCCAAGGGCTGCTGCTTCCCCTAGGCCTCCATCTCCAAAGGCTGCTGGTCCTTCAACTTCTGCTAGAGCAACTTCTCCGAAGAATGTGGAGCGTGAGAGGCAAGTATATAGGAGGATTGAGCCAACATTGAGAAACCAGAATGCTTGTGCTACCAAGATCCAAGCAGCTTACAGAGGCTATGTGGTAAGCTTCTTGCCCAAGTTTTCTCATTATTTCCTTATGGATTATTAGATGGAATGACCATGTATGCCAGTAGCAATATGTTAGTAGTGGCTGTTCTCTATGTGGGAGTGGATGCCTGATTCATGACAGTTCTAGTCCTCATCAAAAGTTATTTTAACAAACTTATCTATTGCTATATTATGATTTTTCGCAAACCGCCCTGTTTGTGTGAATTTTAATTGAATTCCCATCAGAAGTATACAGGCAGCACTAGAAGACAGGCATAATATAGAAACATAATCTGATGATGGTTCATCACTCAAATCACATGCAGGCAAGGAGGAGCTTTAGAGCCTTGAAGGGTCTAGTGAGGCTCCAGGGAGTGATCAGAGGACAGAATGTGAAGCGCCAGACAATGAACGCAATGAAATGCATGCAGCTCTTGGTTCGTGTCCAATCCCAGATTCAGTCGCGGAGGATTCAGATGTTGGAAAACCAGGCAAGACAACATAAGAACAACGATAAAGAAGTCGAGTCTCATTTGGGCAAATGGAGCCAAGCTGTAAGTCCATAGTTGCTCTTGTTGTTTCTTTCTTTGTTTACAATTAGAGACTCATGGCTTGATTTGTAGACAAATCATCCTTAACTTGTATGTCAAGTTTGTCGTGATTCCTTGGAGTTCTCATCACATCGCTGAGACTACTCTTTTTTGGGTGCATTCTGCAGTCTGAAGGAGATGACTGGGACGACAGTGTGCTGACAAAAGATCAGGTCGAGGCAAGAATACGGAGTAAAATGGACGCGGTGATCAAGAGAGAAAGAGCAATGGCATATGCATATTCTCACCAGGTACATTACCAACCAGTATGCATTATGCATACAAAACCTTAACTATACACAACGTGAACCATATTCATATATGCATACATTTTCCCCCTCCTTCACATTTCAGCTATGGAAGGCCTCTCCGAGGGCTACACAACTATCCTTAACAGACATCCGGTCGAATGGATTCCCATGGTGGTGGAACTGGCTCGAGCGCCAGCTCCCCTCCTCATCATCAAACAACAACCAGGAAAACCAGCCGACAAAGAGTTTCCACCCCACTCCCACAAGGCCATCATCAGAGGTGAAGCCTAGCCCTGTACATCAACAACATTTCACCTATGACGGCATGGATACTCCCACACCACGGTCAACTAGGTCCACTACCAGATTTGTACGAACGCCGGTTCACAAGATGACCCCAAACAACAACGCAGCAAACAGCTCATCAGGCCTATCGAAGTACTCGAGAGCACGAGGAGGAGGAGGGGGTGATCACTCCTCCCCATCACCATTCAACTTCCCATCCAAGGACGACGACAGCCTGACAAGCTGCCCACCATTCTCGAGGCCTAACTACATGACTCCAACGGTCTCTGCCAAGGCAAAGGCCCGTGCCAACAGTAACCCAAGGGAGAGGTTCCCTCTCCCTGGTACGCCGAGCAGCGAGAAGAGGAGGGTTTCTTTCCCCTTTGGAGGTGGACAATCATTCAAGTGGAATGCAGGCAGTTTGTTCTCTTCCAACAGCAACAAGGGCTCTGGATCACCAAGGGTGATTGAGAAGCACCAGCCAATTCATTCCATTGGGAATTTGAGTGTTGATTCCACAGTTTCCATGCCTGCTGCTGTTGGGAGAAGGCCATTTAACAGGTTTGTGTGAGTTTGTTATGATGTCCCTCATTCTCATCCTGTATACTTCTGTTGTTGAACATATGTGTTTGCTTCTCTCTTTATGTTTGGTTTCATTTTTGGGTTGTTTTTCTTTTTTTGGTTGATGTGGTGTAACTTTGATTGAGTGGATGTGATTGAGACAAGTATACTGGTGTAAGATAATAACGGAAATAGAACATAGTATGTGGTTGCTTCTAGTGCACGGCAAGGAAGTAGTCCTCTTTGGGCTCCCACTTTTACTTGATGCTTCTGCGGTTGTAGAAATTATGGTACGCGAATGCGATATTTCGGCCCCACAAACTTCTATGTACGTAATTCAATTCAAATAGATAACACGTAATACGGCTAGCTATTCAAACACTGCCAGGTTGTATTATCAAACCATCATTTCTTCTTTGCTCTTTAGAAGACAAGAAAGACCAGTACACATTATTCTTATGTTGATGATTACACACGCCAAAATATTTATTAGCAACTCTTTCCTAAATTTAGGGACTAATGTGAAAAAAAACTTGTATCACGAGGACTGTAATCGCTATTAGCGGACGCCGTATATTTGAAGGGTTAGGGATTTTCCCACCAAATTTTAGGGATTTCGATATCTGCGCTATTGATTTCTCTGGCGTTGCCAAGCTCCTCCACTGCTACCGCCGACGGCCTTATCTTGCGGCCGGCAGATTGTTCGCCGTAATGGGGACAGAGAACGTCACCCTGTCTCAGGATGCGCTGCCCAGAAAACGACGGCGGCAGATCTGTTCGATAAACCCTTCTCCTGCCGCTATCAGCAAACTCGGAGACGATCTCCTCGTAGAAATTCTGATCCGCCTCCCGAACCCTGGATCCGCCTGCCGGAGCAAACCCGTCTGCAAGCTGTGGAACTCGCTCGTCTCCGATCCCAGCTTCAATCGCCGTTCCGTTTCTCGCCGCCAGAGCATCAACGAACAAGAGCCGCCGCCGCCGCTTCTTCCCTCGGACGACCCCCAATCGATCGTCGCGAGCTTCCTCCCCGTGCCCGCGGAGGCTCGGGAGTATTTCAGAGTTCTCGATTCCTTCAAAGACTTGGTCCTATGTGGGTTTCGCGAGGCATACTCGTACAGGATGAAGGAGGAATTCAGCAGATTGTACTTGGTCTGCAATCCATTTACGAAACAGTGGATCGCCCTTCCCCTCGCCCCTTCCACGCGACAGGATGCCAGGTTAGTTTGCGAGCCACGCGTTTCTAACAATCTTGATCTAGGAGGAGATGATGATGATGATGATCAAGAAGTGTGTACTTATTCCGAGTATCGGTTTAGGGTGGCGTGTATGGATCAAGGCATGAGCTCTATATGCATGTTTTGCTCAGAGCAGGGAGAATGGATCAATGAGTCGTTTGATCTTCATCATTATAACAGAACGATGCTGAGAAGTGCAGTTTCCTGCAATGGGGAGTTGTTTTTCTTGAACCATAGGAGCAGTAGTGCCATGAATCCCTATTCAGTTGCTGCGCTTAATCTTTTCTCCCCGGACCACCTATCTGCCATTTACATCGATGTTGCAGCAGTCTCTGGGGAATGGTTGTGGAATGTTTCGGTCTCACGAGGTGCTCTTCACTTGGTTGGAATCCAAGAGAAACCCATGGCGGAAACTGGTGGTTGTTCCAGGTTTTTCTCGAGTGTCTGGAGATTGGAAAGCCATCGTAAATCTTGGGAGAAACTGTGTGAAGGGTTTTTGAAAGCGCCTCCCTCGAGCTGCAAGTATGGGATCTCGAGCATTCGGTTTCACTGCCTGCATCCGGAGAGGCCTGAAATTGTCTTCTACGGTTATCGTAATGGTGGCCGTGCTATTATGTCTCGTGACTTGAGCACGGGAAGAGATGTAGAGTTTGGTGAGCTGAGGCTAGTTGTACCTCATTGGCGATTGTTCCAGCCTAAGGTCTCTTGTTGGCCCACTCCAATTGCTAGCTACGAGGAATTACGAGATATATACGACGAAAGCTGCCACTCTTTGATTCAGTGCGTTAAAGCGAAACAACAACAGCTCGCATAATACGTGATATTGTTTTTATTATGAATAGGCTGAATTACACCGTGAAAGAAACTACTTGATACTTATTGTTTATTAAGGTGGATAATCAATTTTATTTTAGGTTAGAGTTAGTGTCTCATTTGAGAATGTGAAACTTGATTATGTGTCACGTTTCGCCCCCCATTTATGTGATTGAACAATTAATTCGTGATAACAATAATAATTTTATAGTTACTTTTTATTTTCATAATATATCACCCTCGTTTAGGCGAGATGAAAGATTAACCAAATGTTATTTTACCTTTACCTTTATCTTAATCGTTATCATCACATTCACATCATCAGCTAAGCCACTGTCAACATCATCAGCTAAGCCTAAACAGCATTATATTACAAATTCGCAAAGTTGAGTGACCAATCTGAAACTATCTGGAGATTTTTGGGATTTCATTGCAATTTTGCCAAAAATAAAATAAAATAATGGATATCTTATCGCAGCCCAAAGCCCAATCCAATACGGCCATATAAAAAGCCAACAGAAGAAGCAGTCCAGATAAGCTTATCATTTTCATTCCTCCCGCACCAGAGCGCGAAAAAGAAAGACGAACAAAAATGGCGGTGAAGATACGATTCGCAAGGCTCGGGTGCAAACACAGGCCGTTCTACAGGATTGTAGTTGCTGACAGCGAATCCCGCAGAGATGGCAAGTTCATTCAAGTCGTTGGGTTCTACGACCCCTTGGCAGGTCCGAAAACTTTCACTGCTTTCTGATTGGTTCCCGGGAAAGTGTTAAGAGGAAAATGTTGGAGCTGGGGGATAGTGAAATTTCGTTTCGTTTTTGGGTTTCTGTGTTTTGTGGGTTTTGCAGCAAAAGAAGACACGAAGAAGATGAGCCTCAATTACGACAGGGCGAAGTAAGTCCACCCTTTTCTCCGTTGAACTGTGAATGGATTGTTTTGTTTTGATTGGGAAATTGAACTTGGGGGAAATTGCACGTCATGGTCTGGATTTTCGTGTTAAGACTGTCGATTTCTTCATGAACGATGGACTTCTCTGTGATAGTATTTGTGTGGTATAAGGAGTTTAGAGGGCAATGATTCCCCTTGTTGGTCTTGTTTAGCATTTGAACTAGTTTTCACCTCTCCAACCCCAATGTAGATGGCTTATAGTAGCGCAGCCATTGAAATAAGACATTTGTTTTAGCTTGTTCGTTGTGTATGATGATGGTCTTAGCAGCTCTGAAGACTGTGCACTGAAGGGAACTTTCCCCCTAGGTTAGTCTTTGTTGAAATAGCTTATCACTTGAAATACTATCAGAAAATCAAGAGCAGTGGAATGAGAATCTTATAGCTATGAACAACTGAGACCACCCCTGTTGTTAAAGTCTCGGCCTTTTTGCTCAAGTCGTTGTGATCTCCATGCAATAGGGAGTAGATTATGTTAGTTGCCCGACTTGGATTATTGGGTAAGACCAGGACTAACTATTCGTGAAATCTAGTTGGCTACTCGATTTCCTGCTTGTTTATGTATCTGGTTTGGTTATTGATTACTTGTTGGATAAGCTTTTAGATACAATGCAGATGGGCAAACAGTCTTTTGCTTCTGTCCAGTGTCCACCATGACCAGATGCCCTTTTGCCCTCAATAGCTTCTTCCTCTTCTGACTACTACCTATAGCCAAGTTAGGATTGATAATAAGAATGTTGGATGATATAGCAACTATTGGGTGGTTTTTGTTGACAGTTCCCCAATGCCATTTTCTGCAGGTACTGGCTATCCGTCGGTGCACAGCCTTCAGACCCGGTTCGTCGCATCCTTATGCAAGCTGGTTTGATCGAGCCACCACCGATGGTGGTAATGGCACGCAAGGGCGGCGAGAGTGGCAGCAATGATGATCAAGCATGAATGATTGACTGAGACAAAAAGTTGAACACAAGGGATGTAGAGAAAGCCTGCTGCTTTGATGGAGTATTTTGAGAGTTGTTTTTATTCATACTGATGCTTGCATTTTATTTCTCTTTCTTTAAAAGCTGAAGAAGATACATGGAACTTCTTTCTTCTTCTCTGCCCCTTCACTTCTCAAGTTGCATTCCCCTTAATTGTACCATTCCAATTTCATCAGGTTTGGTTTGTGATGGTTGTGGTTATCCTGCTACCAAGGATGGGTAGCCGGTTCGGTTTTTTTGGTTAACCAACCTTGTCAAACCAAGGGGGGAAAGAGTGTCATTTGGGGAAGATGAACATAACCCAGAAACAAGGGAATGTCGATCATTCAGAAGAAAACAGGGTTGAACATAACCCAGAAATAAGGGAATGTTCATCATTTAGAAGAAAACAGAGTTAAAACCAAGAAGTTCTTGCTGGACTGGACCACCTCTGTTCGGCTGTGGGCCCATCGCGCTAAGGGAAGGCCCAATCAGGTGGTCGTATGGACTTTGGCGATTAGTCTTAATCGGGCCCATTAAGTGAACCAGTATGTTACGAACCCCAAACTTCAGTGACCATTTTGTAATTAGTCTTGGTTCTTGCTTTGCTTAATTGCTTGTCCCTCCAGCCTACCGAATGGATGGGCCGTTCATTTCCGTGACAACGAAGCTGAAATACTGCAAGGCTGTGACTGTTAAGCCTTCCAAGGAGGAGAAGAAGCTTCGAACGTTTAGGAGAGATGGCATCTTCGTCTTCGTCACTAGCGATGAATCCGTTGACTTCTTCCCTCTGCAAATCCGGTGGACTTCCGCCGGTGGATTCCATGCTTAACCACCGCCGCCTGGTGTCCCCTGTCGCCTCTTCCCCTCACCGAACGCTGAAGCAGCGAAGCGTCATTGCTCGGCCGCATTTCGCGTCTCCGGTGGTCTGCAAGGCCGTCTCCGTCCAGCCTCAGGTCACCGGAATCGAAGGACTCAACATCGCGGAGGACGTCACTCAGGTTTGCTTTTTTTTTTGGTTTCCGGAACCTGAATTCGCGCCTTTTGGTTTCTTCTGGTTTGCTTGGAATGAATGATGGAATTGGAATTCTGATTCAAAGTTGTGATGGGTTTTGTGCAATTTTGCTGGGTTTTTGTTTGTGCAGCTGATTGGGAAAACACCTATGGTATTCCTAAATAAAATTGCCAAGGACTCTGTTGCCAGCATTGCTGCCAAGCTGGAGATCATGGAGCCATGTTGTAGTGTCAAGGACAGGTGAGGGTGTTACAGAATGCGTCGATACCACTAGTAGTGGTTGACGTTCCGGTGAATTCGAGTCGGATTAGCTGGTTTTGTAGCATCATTTCGACATGGTGTTATGGTGTTCTGACTTAACATTTGTGATACCAATATTATAGTGCTCTACTTTGCACAGAGGAGATATCTTCTACTTGTTCCTGTGACGTTTATGTGGACCCTTAATTTCTTTTATCTTAAGCTCAAAATAGTTTGTTTTGACTCCAGGATAGGATACAGTATGATTGATGATGCCGAGAAGCGAGGACTTATAACGCCTGGAAAGGTAACAAGCGACCACGAAACTATGTGATTTGTTTTGAGCCCATGTTTTCCCGAAGCCTGTCCTTTATGTCTTTGTATCGGTTCACTCTGATTCTAGTCTTCTTCGAATGTAGAGCGTTCTGATTGAAGCTACAAGTGGGAACACGGGTATTGGGCTTGCATTTATAGCTGCATCAAGAGGATATAAACTCATCTTAACAATGCCAGCGTCAATGAGTATGGAGAGAAGGGTTCTTTTGAGGGCCTTTGGAGCAGAGCTTGTTCTCACTGAACCAGCAAAAGGTATGAAGGGTGCAGTTCAGAAGGCCGAAGAGATATTGAAAAACACTCCCAACTCGTACATTCTTCAGCAGTTTGATAATCCTGCAAATCCAAAGGTTAGCGGTCATTTCCCTCTAGCTGCTCCTTGTTTTACAATGGATAGATACGTCTCGATCGGTTGATTAATTGCTTGTATAATTTACATGGATGTTTTGCAGGTCCACTACGAGACTACTGGTCCAGAAATCTGGGAAGACACAAGGGGCAAAGTTGATATCCTTGTTGCAGGTATTGGCACTGGTGGAACCATTTCTGGCGTTGGGCGGTTCCTTAAGGAGAAAAACCCCAAAATTCAGGTAATTGTTCTGGTTTCTGACTTTATGAAGCCACTCTTGTCACCCCTAGAAGTCTTTGTAATGGCTGTACCTTTGCCCTTCTGGGTATTGGTATTGGAAGTTACTTACTAGTGTCCTTCCATTAGTCCCACAAAGAACTGAGGAAGAACTGAGTTTAGTTTACCTAAAAAAAGAGAATAATAACCAAAATTTGCTTGAGTATCTGTTTTGCTAGTTTCTTGATTTGTTCTCAATTTGAATTCATCAGATAATTGGTGTCGAGCCTGTTGAAAGCAACATATTGTCGGGGGGAAAGCCTGGTAAGGACACCATCTGCTGTACTCACCCAATGTGATACTCGGTTTCATTCTCTTTTTTTCTGAAGTTCCATTAATTTGTTTCTGTGAACGCAACTTGAAGGTCCTCACAAGATTCAAGGAATTGGAGCAGGTTTCGTACCAAAAAATTTGGACAGAGATTTGGTTGATGAAGTTATTGAGGTCTGGCCCTTCCTTCTGTTATCTATCCTGGGCTTAATTTTTGTTTCTCAGTTAAATCTGAGATGGATTAGGATAATAATATCCATTCATTGCAGAATTGTTTAATTAGGGTAATAACATCCACTGAATCACTTTGGTGGCTGATTTCCTTGGCCATTGTTTTGCTCTTCCATTTGACATGATACTGAGCTGGGGTTTGCAATGCCAGGGTAGATGTACTAACATCTCTGTTCCTTAATGCGGGTTTTTGGTATTTGTATTATTTGATTAATTGATTCTTCGGGAGCAAGTCATGATTGCAGCTTGTAAATGATTGATATGAAGGTCTGAATGATTGATCTATATTTGACAGGTGTCAGGCAGTGATGCTATCGAGACTGCAAAGCAAGTAGCACTACAAGAAGGCCTATTGGTTAGTTGCTGACAGCCTCTTTTTGCCAGTTATCTAATAATACACTTCAAATTGGAATCTCAAAGACATCTTTCCACAACTAGACCTGCTTGATTCTCTATCTATGTTCGGCTTTTGTAATTGTAGTATTCCTACAAATACCATGATCTTCTATTGCTCTTGCAGTACTTACTCCTAATGTGCATTCTTGGTTTGGTCTTTAACAATATTATGTCATAAATTGGACACCAGGTGGGCATATCTTCTGGAGCTGCAGCAAATGCCGCAATTAAGGTTGGAAAAAGGCCAGAGAATGCAGGAAAGCTGATTGCAGTAAGTCGTTCCCGTCCCCATCGAATTAAACACGACTTAAAGATAAATTCTCATATCGCTCAAGTATACATGTGATATAAAATGATGATGTGAGAAAGCATTCTGGAGTTTTCCATACTGCAGCTCTCTCTTTACTAATGCTTCGAGGCTTTGGTTTGCATTTTCTCAGGTTGTTTTCCCGAGCTTTGGCGAAAGATATCTGTCGACTGATCTGTTCTTGTCCATCCGACAAGAATGCGAGAAACTCCAACCCGAGCCATGAAACGTGATGCGCCTGAGCTCGACCATTTCAACGAATCCAGAAGAACTGAAGCAACCATAAAGAAATAAAAACAAACAAAATTTGCAGCCAAACGCTGAGAATCTGTGTTGTACTGCTACTGCTTGGAGAGTTTTCATTTTTCACATTTAAAAGGATAGTAGTTGTTGTTCTTGTTGTAGCGCTCTGGTTTACTTCCACTTCTCAGTTCAGCAGCAACAGTAATTCGTACGTGGGCTGTTGGTGCGCCCCAATGTGGGCTCTCGTTATTTGAAGCCCAAACTGTAAAAGCGGCCTGACACTACCGTTAATGGCCCAAGTGGGGCAAAAAAGCCCATAACAAAAAATTCTCTTAACTAACTAAATACGTTTTTTGATAAATTAATTAACTGGATATTTATTTTAGCTGGAAATTATTTTTCTTGCTCGGCAAGCCAAGCCAGGAGATTTAGGGGGGATATAAGAAGGACAGGTGGACGGGAGCCCCTGAAAAGTGAAAACTGAAAACTCCGTTGGTTTTCATTCTCCGAGTTTCTCACTCTAAAACCCTGCGGAGGAGCATAAACCCGCGAGAAACCGCCATAGCCAAGAGAGGATGGATCACCTCGCAAGAGCTCAGGAGACGTATCGCCGGCTGCAGAGTGAGGAGAGAATGAAGCGGAAGATCGATGAAGTCCCCCCAAAACTTCTAGCGCAGCTCCACCCCGTCCAAGACCACATCAATTTCACACTCAAGGTTCGCGCGCCTGTTTGGTTTCCGGGGAAATGCAATCAAGAATCCCGCTCTTTCTCGCTTGCAATGCGCTATATTCGTTTCCTTTTTTCCCCGAATCCTTTTTCTTTTTTGTCTTCTTTCTTTGGTGATGTTTGATTGATGAGGATGGCGATTCGGTTTGGTTTGCAGAAAGCGATGTTCAAGTGCTCGTACGAATGCTATGATAGGAAAAGGAATCGGAATCAGGAAGAGGTAGGGAGCTGCGTTGAGAATTGCGCCATGCCGGTTCGTGCTGCCCAGCATGAGTACGAGGAGGAGATGGCTGATTTTGAGGCGAGTTCTTTGCTCTTCTTTACCTCTCGTTGTTGTGATATTCGTAGAATTCAGTCGATTGGTTTGCAAGAATAAGTCTGGGAGTTTGGGCCGTACGAATTGAGTTTCTGAGTTACTGCAAACTAGCACAGAGTGTGTGAAATTGTAGCAGGATCTTCCTTATCGTTGTGAGTTTATCTGTGGTTGCGTTTGAACATTGGTCTGCGATTGCAGTTTTAGTTGGTATACCGAAATTAAGCTGCCTCCATTAGCAGGGGGATTGTTTTGGGGTTTTTCTATGGTTGCTTTTGAACATTGATCTCCAGGCTATATTTGTAATGGATTCATTTGGGACAAGTGGTCGGGGTTTTGACGCCATAGGGAACTAGGGTTAAGTTAAATGTGAGGGCACAGACTTAGCAAGGATCATTTGCAGGATTCTCACTGTATGTTTAAGAAGCATTACCTGTTACTTCCCTTGTTGAAAATAAATCGGTGTGGAACATGCTTATTGAGCTGTTATTCGGTTACAATAATTGGGAAATCAGTAGTTGGGGATTAGAGATCCGGGGAGACATGAAAGCAAGCTGCTCTTTGTTCTAAATTACCCTTTCTTCATCATGAGAACAAGTCTTAATCTGTTTGTAGTATGAATCATCTCCTTATATGGGATGCAAAATCTCGATCCACCGGTTGCATCTCTAGAACGCTACAGGTCGTCGGAAGTGCCAGACTGATTGTTCTTCATATTAGAGTGCAGTTTTTAAGCACTGCTTGCTTTAGCTGTCAAATTCATGGAAGTCAACAACTCTCCTGGTCTCCATGGTTGATTCTTTTCCTTCAATTTAGGGAACAAGTTGTTGAGACGAGCTTTTCTGTTTTAATTGATGCAGGAAAAGATAAAACGGTCTCTTGAGCGCTGCCAGAACAAGTACAAGCAAGATAAGATCGAAGGAAATGGAAATGCAGACCTCATGATCGGCATGGAGTCCTGCGTCGATGAAGCAATCAAGGACAACACAAGCTGGCTTCCAGTCATTCTCTCCAGGCTCAAAAGAGAGTGCTCGATGGGAGACGAGGAGAAGCAAGTGAACACGTGTTCATGAAAACAACAGGAAATTTCTGAATATGGTTTTAGGAAGCAAAAAGGAGAGAGATGTGAGAATCGCTCGGTGATGAGCAACAGTCATTTTGTAGATCAAAAGTACTTGCGTATTTTCTGTTTACTTCTGTTTTGACACTTTGAGCACAATGCTATGAAGGGAACATATTAAAGGCTGGCCATTGAAGAGTTCAATTCATATTCATTTTCCATTGTTAGTGTCGATCTTGAGTTGGGTTGGTTTCATTTTCATGTAGAAGAATTGAAAAAGCAGGGGGAAAAAGTGAAGCGATGGCGAGGATGAAGCATACCTAGTATTTCCAATGGAGGCGATGGAGATTCCATGGGCGGAAGGTTCTGAGACAGCTTAACGATCCATCGACTGAGATTCGTCGGCGACGGCGGGGTATGGGAACTGGAACCCGGAGATGTGCTGATAGTGAAAAAGTTGCGGCGCCAATCGAGAGTCCCGCCGGCGAAGCCAGTAGAACTGAAAAATAACAGAAAGACGGTTGATAGTTGATACCCAGCCCACTGAACCAATAAAAATAATAGCCCATTGGGTCTTATAATTGCTCGGCCTGTATGAAAGGTCTAATCGCACGGCCTATAAATCAAAGCCCATTCGGTATCCACCTTAGTTTAATATTTTCGGTTTTCTTTTTTCTTTTTAAAATAGAGAATTATATTTGTTTTATTTTTGAAATTTTAGCATAGATTCATTATTTTTAAAACGAATGTGGGTGCATCCTATTTTTTTGTTCAAAATCAGTTAGGGTTCCAAAAGCTTGTGAAAATTATTTTAAAAAAAATGTACAATAATATAGCATAGGATCGGCTAATTAATCGATATCGGAAAATCGTGCATCATAATGTTCATTTTGAAAATTGAAAGACCTTATGAGCATTGATGCACAATATTCCGATTTCAATTAACAAAGGATCGACTCAACAAGATAATGCCAGGAGATTTCTCATAAAAGTTTCAAGTGCCACTAGCTAATAAACTTATCTAGCACTAACAACTAATCAAAGTGGGAGAAAGTACTTTAATTGTTGGTGTAGCTCTTTATCCTACTTTTATGGTGAAAGTCGGTCTTTGTCTTTGTGCACGTTTAAACTTTAAACATTTTCCAAGCCACAACAATCTTGACTTTGTAGTGCCAATTACTTGCATAACGACTTACGTTATAGCTAGCTTAGAAAAATGCAACACTGATGGAGAAGTCAGTTTGTAGACGAGGTTTTGGCAGTGTTTGACGACTTCATTTGATTCTATAGTTATTCAAGTGAAGAACGTATGATATGAGAAAAGCAAAATTCCAACTAGTTGTTGGTTTAGGTTACGCTAGCTGTGTGATCTGTACACATGATGTGGATTGCTTAAGCAAGTTCGTCGACGTTCATGTGCTGCATGAGCTAGCAAAATGACGAGCCGGGCTTAGCTTCCAACCAATTGACGTGACAATACGACAAGCAAATCCGGGATATGTGTAGAAGTGTGCCCAGCTGATCGAACAGCCGATGATTATTCTCCAGATATCGCCATTACTTCTTCTCGGGGGGAAGGAGATCATGATCCGTACGTAGGCCTTCTACCTTCACGTGACATTATTCCGTCAGGTGTTGCAATACTTAATTTCTAAGTAAAACCAATAAGAAGGCCCATACTTACTCTCTAGTTCATTATCTAGTAAGAGGACGAAAGAATCTTAGGTTGTTTCAAGAAATCTTGTGGCAACTAGGGATGGCAACAAAACCCGAACTCACGGGTATCCACCCGACCCAACCCGGTCAACGCGGGTAAAATCCGTGTTGATGGGTTTTGGGTCGGGTTTGGGTTTAAACCCGTTCACTATTCAACGGGTTGGGTTGGGTTTGGGTTTAGGTAAACCCGGCCCGTGGGTACCCGCCCACCCATATAATTAATTTTTTGGGTATATTTAATATTATAAACAATTAATCTTATTTATGTTTGTGGAGACATGTCTAATTTTTTCTTTTTAATTGTGTAGAATGAAGTTGATGTTATGGAGTGGAGAGTAAAGAAACTTAATTGAAAGGAAAAAGCTTTCAATTAAACATGTTATTTATGGAAAATTTGTGATTTGCTTTAATTTTTTTGAGTTTTCTAGATTGGTGTTGAACAATTTGTATAGTTAATTTGTGATTTGCTTGAATTTTCAAGAATGGTGTTTTATATATGGATAATTTGTATTGAGAGATTGATATTTGACTTTAATTTTGATAAGAACTTGTAATTGTAAATTTTTTACGACAAAACCCGTGGGTACCCATGAACCCGCGGATACCCAACGGGTTGAGTTGGGTTTGAGATTTTCAAACCCAGTGGGTTTTACCCCAGGTTTTTTTCAAAGATAAACCCATGGGTTTGGGTTTGGCAAAACCCGACCCAAACCGACCCATTGCCATCCCTAGTGGCAACTTTGCTTTACTTGGTATGCTAATCTAGGTACTATATTATGAGGATTAACGGGATAATCATCACGTTAGTTATTTCATACTTCAATGACTAGTTTGTTGACGAATTAAATTTAAGTGACCGATTTATCAATAACCACTAAGTTTAACGACCATTCTCGCAATTTTCCTTCACGTCGGTGGGTAAATATTCAAATTCAAAAAATTTGCATGTGAAGGCAACCGGCTCCCCCGTCGTTCGCGCGCAATTCCCCAGGTCGAGGGAACGTGATAACACGGCTACCGATCACCATTAACGACCTATACCTTAATCTGCAAGCTACTTCCCTATTCCTCTCTCTCTCTATATAACCAGAGAGCCTCCCCAGGAGATCGAAATCCGCCGTTCCCTCAATCAACAGATACATCTTTTTCACCACCGCCGATTCGACAGGGCGGGCGGGCACATTCTTTTTCCTCCCCGGCGGTGGTGCTGTCTGGCGAACAGTGAGAGACAGCGAGAAAATGTGGGCGATGCAGTTACCGGCACTGCTGGCCGCGGCAGCGGTGATGCTGATGGCGGCGGTGGAAGATGGCGGCAGAGCAGAGGCGGCGATCGGGCTGCAGCAGCCGTTGAAGCTCAAGTACCAGTACTACAGGAGGTACACGAGTTGCAGGTACGCGGAGGAGTTCGTGAGGCACCAAGTGACTCTGTACTGGAACAGAGACAAAACCATCACCGCCAAGCTCCTCCGCTTGCTCTACTCCGACTGCTTCGTCACCGTCAGTCTCTATCCGAATCTCTCTCTCTCTCTCTCTCCCTCCGATCTCGACATTACTAATGTATTGAACTGTTGGGTGTCTCCGGCTGTTATGATGGCAGGGGTGTGATGCGTCGATACTACTGGACGGGCCAGAGTCGGAGAAGATGGCTCCACAGAACGCGAGGCTGGGTGGGTTCGAGCTCATCGACAAGATCAAGACCGTGATGGAGAGTCGATGCCCTGGCGTCGTCTCCTGTGCCGATATCCTTAACCTCGCCACCAGAGACGCTGTTCATTTAGTAAGTATTGACAGACCAGCTGTACTCGAGTTTCAGTAAAGCTTGCTGCAGGTGTTATTACTCTCCCTGCTGCAGGCATCTGAAATTGGTCAATGGTTGTTTGATGGTGTTACAGGCAGGGGGGCCATCGTATCCGTTGTTTACAGGGCGAAGGGATGGAATGACATCAAGGGCATCGACGGTGGATCTCCCCTCGGCTTCCATCTCGAGCAAAGCTGCGTTGGCATACTTCGAATCCAAAACCTTGGATGTTCTTGACATGGCCACCCTGTTAGGTAATCTCTATACTGCATATCTTGAAGAACCAAATAAGCCAATTCTAGGTAGATGCAATTACCTTAGCTCTTACCACGCCATGGTGTCCCCCCAGGTGCACATGCGATTGGAACGACTGATTGCAGCAACGTGGTCGACCGGCTCTACAACTTCAACAACACCGGGAAGCCGGACCCAACCATGAGCAAAGAATTCGCTGACCAACTGCGGAAGACCTGCCCTCCTCCGAATAACTCGAAGGGACAACAAGCTAAGGTCCCCTGGGTTTATCTAAACCCGGATTCAGGACCCAGCTACCAGCTGGGGAACTCGTACTACAAGAGGGCACTGGCTTACCAGTCCGTGCTTGGAGTCGACCAGCAGCTGCTCTACAGCAATGATACCCGAGAGCTCACCGGGGAGTACGGTGACGAGTACCCTTGGAAGAATGGCTTTGAAGGCTGGCGGAGGTCCCTCGCCCTCTCCATGAACAGGATGGGGAACATCAATGTGTTGACCGGGAATTCAACAGGGGAGATTCGTAGGAGCTGCCGGTACACGAACCAAAGAGGCTAAAAGTTTCGACACAACACGAGATGCTGGATGGATAAACAAAGTTGTATTGCAATATAAATGTGTTTCGATTCTTCTGTCAAATGTTTTCATGAATGTAGGCGGAGTGATGTAACAGATTACAAATAAGACAGCAAGATCAAGTATCTTGTATTCATTAATGGAAGAAGAAAAAGGAAAAAAGAAACAGATTTGAGTATGTTGGAGTAGACATCTATTCTATTCTATCTTCCGTTGCAGGAGGTGAGAACTCAACAGTAGGCCGTATGACTATTTATTTACTTTCAAGTTTCGACACCTTTCGAACTCTTTTTGGAACCCTATAAACAGACTAACAGAGATGATGAAGCATACGTTGTTCTCAATACAAAGAATCTGCTGTGTCTAACCGTATTGCGCAGGTAAACAAAAAAAATCTACCAAATGAAAACAGATGTATCTTCAGTTTCCTGACCTGATAACCAGATGAACCAAATCCCAGCTACTGGAGTTGCGCACTCTTGTTCTTCTGATGGGCCTCCGGAGAAGAGAGAGACAGGTAGCCACTGCACGATGAATGAAGAACGTAAGCTTCTCATGGAGCAATTCTAACATTACACTAACTCCGTAGTTACAATTAGGACCAAACTTCAATTCTGAAACGAACTGAGCTATTTATCCATGCTAAAGTACATAAATTTCTTAATCTCACCCACATTTGAAAGATTAGATCAATAGTTTTGGCTAAAAGAAGAAAGTTCATGTCCTCTCAAGTAGAGAGTGGGCTGATAGCAAAAACCTATTTCATGCCCTTATTTCATATACTACCTCAACATTTACAAGATCAATCCCTCTTCGTTCGAGAACTGATGTAAATAGCAAGCAGTTCAGCTCAACTAACTGACCATGCCCACAACAATTTGTACTCATTGTAACAGTAAAGAACTATGAACCATAATCCATAGAGTTCCCAGTCAGCAAGGAACACTTGGTAAACTACTACTGGGAAGAGAAATGAATCCATAAACTGCTGAGACAGGAAATCAGTACACATTATATTCAAGAATTCTGCAGTTGTGGTGATAGAATGATGGGCGGGAGAAACCATTTTGTGGCCAGCATCTGGAAATTGCTTACTCGACAATTTATGAAAGTAGTTACCTCACAAAAAAAATCTTCGGTGTTCCAAGAGTTTCTGCTCCATCTCCTTCATTCGCCCCTTCATTATGATGTTTAGATAGGTTTGTAAAGTTGGAAGTAATTGTGCAATGTGGATGGCAAGCAGATCGATACTCCGGAGATGTGGATAGTACAAACAAAGGAACTATGTAACTCTCAACACTTTCTACTGAAGAAGATTCAACCAACAGTTGCTTGAACTCGGCATCATCAAGTTTGGATACCAAGTCAAAATTGGAAACCCAAGCCTGACGTACCTAAGACTCTGCAGAAAATCTTTGTAAACCTACTCACCATTCTGAGCCGTAGGACCTGCTTTCTTGATTAGCTGATTCAGAAAGGAACCGCTATTATAAATGAATGCCAGGGAGAGAACTAAGGTACAATAACAGAAGATTGTATATATTCAATAACATTGAAATGGAAGACAAAAGCAGAACAGAAATTCAAATGAAAAATATTCAGGACTGTACCAGTACAACCCAGAAAAAATCAACAGAAATACTAACCTTGAAGAAATATTTCTTTCGAAGCTTGATAGCTGTTCGTATGCAACGTTTGACACGGATCTTTAGCATATTATCATTGAAAAGCTGGAAAAATTGCAACAAATGAAAGTCAAGCAACCAGCAATACAAATGAAAAAACGCCCTAGACAATATAGCTCACTATCCAGCCAGTTTGAGATCTAAGCAATTACTGCACTCAAAGTGAACCTACTTATACTTCATAATTCTGCAACTCAAACGAACGGACAATAACAGGCAAACTAGGTAAGGCACACAGTTGCATTGAGAGACAACATGAGAGAGTGAGCAAGTTCATTGAGTGCCGCCCAAGTCCAATCATCATAAACTAAAAGAGGAAGAGTGATGCACGTGCCTTTATCATATCCTCGATCGAGCGAGTTTCTTTGATGATTTTCTGACGGTTCATTATAAGAATTGCCGCAACACAGAAAACGGGTAATTCATCATCTCCATTTTTAGTTGATGACACAAGTGCGCTAATCTCCATGGGATGTTCACCTTTAGACCAAAAATTCATTGTCAAACCGCAGAGCGGATGTGTCAATGTGGACTTTGTTCCATTGTTCACAGTTGTCGACTGATCTGTATATCCAACTTTTGTTTCTGCTTTGTCCTTTGGGCAGTTATTCCCACTTGCTGTGCTTTCCACTCTTGTTTCTTTTTCAGCTTTGCAAGGTAGATGTAGCACCAACGCCTCCAGACAGCTTTTCTCTAAATTAAAGGCCAAGGATTCATCAAAATCAGCAGCCCACATCATCTGAAATAAAGATGCAAAAGTCAGATTCAAATACAAACTGATGCAGCACCTCAATTTCCTATCCAGCAAAGATCATCTCAGCAAGACACTAAAACATTATTACGCACTTGTAAATTGTTTTGACCTTCAAACCTTAAGGGGTTTGCCGAGGGGTAATGTGAGGATGATAACATCCACCACACTCTGAGTTCAGACCTTGGGACCAACAATCATCTAAAAAATATTGTATTTTCTACCAGCAGGTACACAAATCATTCTTGTAGAAAAGCTAAGCCATGGTATATACATCAAATCAAGATAATATAATTAAATCACTAGCTTTCAGGTCATAAGCATCAATTTCTTCTTCTTCTTTTTTTACAATAGCAACTTCAGTAGGTTATAACGCTAGACAAGATCCCATCCTCTCGGTCCTCTCTAGTAGCACTGACCAAAAGAGAATCTAACAATTGATGGTAAGGAGATAATGATATATAATATTTAGTTGCTTCCCCTAGATGACATGCATCCAAACTACGGATGATTCGTCTCTACCACGAAATGAAATCCACAACATGCAGGAGAAAAGCATAAACGGGAAGCTAAAGCAGAAGACAGACAACCGCAGAGAGAAGCATTCCACAATTTGGTAACTGTATGCAACTTCATGTTCCAAAAAACACCAAATATAAGCTCTATGCAAGCATATCGATAGGCTAAGATAAGGACAGCAGTGTTCTGAAATCCACCAAAACTAAAACAAGTAAACAACTGAGGATGGCCAACCTCCCACATCCGAAGAGTTTCACTAAAGGAAAGCTCCCGCCGAAAAAGAACCATCAACATGCGGAAGGCAAAGTGCAAGCTTTCAGCGCCTATGTGTGACAGGTGTCCATACATTTCCCTGTCTGAGACCTCTAATATGTGCCACAACGCCTGCAACTGCTTCATCACTCCAGTTGGTCCATCCATCTGAAAGTTCTCACGCTGTGTAGATGTGAAAACACAGGTTAGAGAAGAACACTGACAAAGCTGAAGAGGTGCTTAAACATTAGGTATACCATTCTTCTTAGAAGCATCTCGAAGCACCAAAAAGCATCAGCATCATCCTCGAATAGTACCACAAATGGAGAAAGCAAATCACTCATACCTAAACAAAGGAAGGACCAATCAAGCAAACTTCTTCTGCATTCCTACTGGAAAAAGGTAATGGAGAGAAAATCTGAAGGATGATTACCTTGACAATAACCAGTAGCAGGATCAATCCATGCATAAACTGCAAGTATATCAGACATTCTAGCCAAATTTCTCTTGTCCTCGTAAAACTCGAGATGAATGTCTGTTCTTACCACGTCAACAACTGAAAGGAGAAGGTTGTGAGCGTAAGGGGAAGAATCATTGACCTAGACTTCCCATAAAAAATAAGTGGTTCCTTACCAATTCTATGCAGAGTCCAAAGCCATTCGGATATTCTATCTTCACCAGTGGGCCCTCGATTGGAAGAATTTACAAGTGGTGGAATACCTGATATTGTCAAACCATTCATTCCCAGCTCTTGACAACCCTCATTAGTGGACCATACTGCTGTCTTATGGTCATCATGCGTAACTAATTCAATTTCGGAGGTTTTGTTACGAGCTCCATTGCTAGATGGTGAGCCATTGGATTCTACAATCAAATCATCGTTGTTGTTGATTTGAAAACTATGCATATTCACTTCCTCGAATGTCAGTTCCCGTCTTGTAGAAGGCGTGTTACTGGCCATAGCACTATCCTTCACATCATCGTCTCTTTTGTCAAACAAATTTGTCACGGGTAAAGGAGGAAAATCAAAGAAACCCCCTGATACATAGTGTGATCCGTTTTCTTCTTCACCTCTCTCCATTAAACTGCTTTCAAATGGACCCGAATCGGCTATTAAATAACTAGAGTCATATGCTGCACTATCGCTGCTTCCCCTCACACTAACAAGCTCGGCAGAATCACTAGAGCTTTCTCTTTCACATGCATGTGATGCATCAAAGCCATTACTGTTCCAATTGCAAGAATTACTAGCACACTTCAAGTTGTCAGTGCTGTCTCTATTTTCAGCTCTAGCTTCCACTCCCACATCAACCTTTGACGAAGTTCTCATATCCATAACTTTCGACCCCACAACATATGCAAGTGCACCAGTTCCAATGCTTGCATGCATTGCCTGACACTGTTTGACCAAATCTTCATATCGCTCCCTGCAGTATAAGCTGTTATAATGCCACATAAAAAAAATTGAATCATAGGAACAAAAAAGAGAAATGAAAGGACTAGACCTCCGAGCAATCCTCAGCTGCTTTCGGTATTCAGCCGTGCTTCCCAACGCGTAACAGCCAAGTAGAAATTCCCATACTTCAGCCCTTATGGATGGATCAACACCCTACCACACCAAATAGTTTAGTTGCATAGAACATAAGAACTGAGCAGCTTCAAAAGCATGACTTGTTTTACATCATGAAAGAAATAATTATTATTAGATATGAAAAGTCAAACACGTGCTGGATAAATTGGAGAGAGGACTTAGAGTCGTATATGACCAGGCAACATACCAAGGAAAATTAAATAAAAAGCAAAGAGAAACAGCTACGGGTGACCTTGTAGAAAATTGTAATTAAAACACTCGCAGCTATACAAGTTTAGTGGGAAGTGGTCCATGATAAAGCTCAGGTGCCTTTCTAGGGGCATATGATGAAGTCAAAGTAAAGGCAAACGCACAAAAAATTTGCCGCCACAGCACCTCGTATAAATGAACTGATTATCGCTTTGTTCATAAAGGAAAACGAGAAAGAAATTATTGATAAGAAAAGTTCAATAGGTAAGAGTTTGAAACAAACATACCCCCAGAACAATTGACTTCAACACCTTACGAAAGCCAGATACCTTTCCATCACTGTCAAAAGTTGCTTGCCACTTCTCTCGCTTCAGCATTCTGCTTACCTGTCCATCAAAGTTACAGTGTCGCAGATGAGTATTTCATATAATTTTCAGAAGCTAATCAAAGGAGTATTGCAGTTGGAAAAAAAAGAATGAAAATAAGTGAAAATACAGCTATCCACATCAGACAAGTAGCACTGCATCTCATTTCCTAAGCTTCCCAAAATTGTAGAAGATCTAATCTGAATGCATGGGGTAAATCATGAATGATCAAGTATAATGAAAACAAAATTTGTTTTCAAGCCACATATCATCCCATAGTAACACCCTTGATCTTGAACAAGTTTGCCATATGTGTAAGAGCTACCACTGGCCTAAAGAATCATTCCTTTACCAATCATGGACAAAAAATAATCTTATATTAATCAAGACTAGATACAAAGAATAACTGGATCAGGGTTAAGAATTACAATATGAAATGTAAATTCAACAATCTGCAAGTTCAATTCACTTATGACTCCATTGTAGGATCATCTTCCCCAAGACAGTTGTTAAAATAATGGATAATAAGACGAGAATTTACCTTCTCCTCAAAGAGGAAGGCCGTACAATGAACAGCCTACTACAAAGCTTCTTAGATCACATACGACAAAGGAAACCTCCTACACAATTTCTTGACCAACACGTACAAAGGAAAATTTCACCTCAAAATAATCATGGAGTATATCTGTCGTGTCATGGCAGAGCTTCCATTACAAATTAATATGTTCAACTACATTTTATTTGAACTTGAAATACTGAGATGTTTAGACAAGCCTTTGGGTTTGTAAACATGTAGATACATTTTAGAGTACGCAACAAAAATTAAATTTTTAATAAGAAATTAATTACTCCACTCTTTATATTTTACCAAACACGATCCCAATAAAATGAACAAAATACCTCAGTTGTCAAGTTGAAAGTAACAAACTAAACATAAATGTCAAATATTTCTGGTGGTACTAACTTTTTGGCTGGCCAAGCAGGACTGAAATCTGAGATAGACTGTTTCAAGCAAAAACCCAAAGATCAGGAAAATATCCAAATCAACCCAGCAGCAGTATAAGACCGAACCATCCAGATCTAACAGCAATCATTCTCACATTTAGGATGCCAACATCATGAATAAAGGATTTATAAATATAAATAATTCACTATTGAATAAGACAAGGTGATCTTCCACGTCCAAATCACAGTCTGATTGAAAATGGTAGCACTATTTACTTATTAGATAGCATTCCGTTTCTGGGAAATTTTAATTGTATCCAGTCAAAATCAGCATTTAATACACCTCATTCTGCAGCATATCAAAGTTAAATGCTGGTGCATCTGCACATCAAGCATTCACAGGAAAGATACATCTAACTATGAATAAAAAGCTGATAAGCTTTTTCTAGCACTCAACTAATTATCCGGGATATCCTCCAATCCACACCAATGAAGCTCATTTACAATCACAACCTTCCCCAACTCAATCCTAAACATAGTCGCTTCATAAAAAAACAATACTAAACATAGTCGCATTTCAAATTCTCTAACCCTCTCCTACTATTACATTTGAGAAGTGTTTCCTCTAGTCCTCACACAGATCATAAGCACCAGAGTGTAACCTTGTAATTATGAGATTGACACATTGGTAACCTTGAGGTTGGCACAACTTATTAGCTCCATGGTAAGGAGCCTACAGCCTATGTTAGCAGCCTAAAAATGGTAAGCATATATAGATATGTTCAGAGGAGGATTATATAGATAATTATTAAAAATGGGTAACATTGAGAGAGCCTGATAGCTATGATAACCTTTACGGGTGATTGAGAAAGACAAGGCTCGCCAATTTCGCGCACCATTGTAGTCACTCTTTGCAAATTTACTACTCTGGGCTTGCCGCAACTCCATTGCCTCTCCTCTCTGGTGGGAGACATTTACTGCTTTCACAATTGCAATCACGCACACTCTGTTATCCCTTCCAAATAATTTGATCTTTCCTTAATATCAACTGAACATCAAATGGATAAACCATCGAGCTTAAATCCTACAAAACAAGTAAAAACACATCAGTAAGATCAAACAAGGCTTCTAATACTAGCTTGTTATCCGGACCGTTGACCGGGTTATGTTTGTATGAAATGGTAGTAGGGCATGTCCTACTTTATCCAATCCAATTGTCAATTGATCAGTTTGTTTGGATTTCTTTAATTTGTGGTGTTCCGATATGAGTGTGCATATATCTGTTATCGTAAGAGAACATACATTGATTGTAGAAACATTACAATATTACTTCCTTGCAATATGAAACTACTGCAAACCTACATAATAATAATTTTGATATCGAACTCAAATTCCACCAACCCATAACAATTAACAACGCATATGAGTTAGTCCAAGAAAAGGGAATAAAGTTTCAGAATATTAAAGTCAATGGAAGGCATTAGAGAAAATGGGAATGGTGATTATGGGATTAGAGAGGTGACAGGAAGGATGCAGGGGCACAAGCACGATGAACTATCCCTTTAGGTCACCAGTTATTACTATCGCTATATAAGCAGCAATGGAAGTTATGAACTCTAGTTCCCACACAGCCAATCTAGTTCATAGGACGTACAACACCATAACCATCATTTATAATTCCGTAAGCATAAAAATAAGAAATTTAATCATGTTGTTATAATTTCAAGTCACCACTAAGGAATATAGAATTTGTACCTAAGCTGGTTTAGTGTGCAGCTTTCCTTATGCAGTGACGCAGTTTCTTGAGGAGCTCCTAATAATGTTGAAGTCCTAGAAATGAAAAAGGATGATCCAAGGCAACAGGTTGCTGAAGATGTGTCTTCACCTGTGTTGTTAGCATTGGAAGAAGAAGAAGAAGAAGAAGAGAAATACCAGCTGAACCTGCAAGTTAACAAAATGACTGGTTAGCTAAATGGTTGTTCATGGCACCATCACCAAGCATATTTGGATTTGACTATGCTTCCAGTTTTGTAGCATTCACTGTCGGGGGCTAATGTTCTAGCTAACATTTCGTTTAAAAGCCAGTACAACCATGATAATTGCAAGAAATGTGCCTTGACTGCACTTCTTGTTATAAGGCCTTGTAACTAAACAGTAATCTTCAGTTGCATATATTGCACTTAGATTTAGTATCTGTAGATTGTGTCTCTAACCATTATAGGTCATTCTTATTCACAACGGGTAAGCTGTGTTTTCTTTTCTCTCGGAATATGAGCTGCAATAATATAAGCAGCCTAAAAGAACAGGCAAAGTAGTATTTAAACTCGATCATATATAAGTTCAATGAATCATTTTGTACTACTTTCCAGCCATAAAATGCTCAACCCGACAAAGTAACTTACACCTCATGTTTCCCCATTCCCTCCCTCCCCTGATGTTGAGCTCTTTGATTAGAGCGGCTCGAGTATCAAAGTTCATTTCGTTTTCAGATATGTGAAGTTAAGGAGCAAGGCAGCTATTCTTTCAATAGTAGAAGGTAAATGTATAGTGAATTGACAAACCTGTTAGAAGACACTGGGCTCCAAAGCGAAACCCAGAAATGGCAGCGGCAGCTTGTGTCCTGGACCTAGCAATCCAGTGAGCAGAGTCGAATTTCTGGTGGAAGCCCTGCCGCAGTCCGGCGTGCTTCGAGCCGTTGTTTCACTGACAGAATCGGATGACTGGAAAAGCGAGCAATTGAGTGGTGGCAGGCATAGATGCAATTGAGTCTGGAACGCGATCCATTGAGGAAATTCGGGTGTGGAATCTCTGCGGGTGAGTCGATTTTGATGGCGGGAGAGCTTCTGCGCGATGTGAACCGCGCTTTGAACAGCAGATGTGGCAGGCGATTTCGGAATCCAGCGTGAATCGATCAGTTCTTCGTAAGCAGTATTGACAGATTCTGTAGCGAAGGAAGCGACTGGGGAGAAGATGAAGATGCTGATCGGGTGGCACCCAAGGTCTGGAAAATTAGGGCGTACAGTAGTTGCGGTGTTCGGTGGGGGAAGAGGCGTTTTAGACGGTCGGAGGAGAGCACGTCGGGAGATCGTCGCTGGCGGATGACGTAACTGCTCGGAAAAGATGGCGATCGGCCGTGTCGCGATGGTGATTTGGAGGTGGGGATGCGGAGGAGGTTGGGAGTGGGGGGGATCAAAGGGAACCGCCAATTTGGGGGTGGTGGCCGGTGGGTTTTTTCCCCCGGGATGACTTGTGATCAAGGTTGTCGGTTCGACCTGTTCGATTGGCCCGTTTTGACTCTGATTCACTAAGAAAAACATGCCTTATCGGGTTAGAGGTTACACAACGTCATTTTTTACTTTACTTCATGAAATGCGCATTCTTTTTGGTATTTCTCCTCGCATAACCCAGTAAGTAAAGGTGGTAATTTGATCGGATTCGTGGATTGGATTGGTGGATCCAATGGATTGGTGGATTCATGGATTGGATCAAATGGATTGGTGGATTGATCCATGAATCCAAATGACATCTAAGGCTTGGACCAAAATGTAAATTTTGAAAAGTTTAGGTACTAAAATGTCATAATGCAAAATTTTAGGTACCAAAATGTAATTTTCCAATGATTTTTTCGAATAAAAATATAAATTTTAGGTACCAAAATGTAAAATATAAAAAATTTAGGTACCAAATCGTAAATCCATGAATCCACCAATCCAATTGGATTTGGATCAAATGGATTGGATTTAAATGGATTGGATTAAGTGGATAATTTGGTGAATGGATTGAATTTGATTCATGAATTTGGATCCTAATTGTCACCTCTACCAGCAAGTGGGTATGTGCAAGGGATGAATGAAGAATGATCTTGTAACGCCATTTTTTATCGTTTTCTTGTATGAGCACTTGGAAGGCGACATATATAGTTGGTCCATCTTTGATCTCCCACCAAACAAAATCTTGGATATAAAAGCAGATTGCTATTGGTGCTTGTCCAAGTTGCTCGATGGGATGCAAGATCATTACATGTTTGCCCAGCCAGGGGTCCAGAGGCTTGTTTTTAAGCTCAAGGAATTGGTTAGACGAATTGATGGTAATTTAATTAAAATGTAGCTTTTTACTTATCAAGATGAATAAGAAACTTCATAAGTTTTACATGAAAATCAATTATGATTTACTTGTATTTTAGAGATTTATGAAATTTGCTCAATATTTCATAAACTTATTTAATTATTATAATAATCATATTCATACATGATTGTTTCTTTTTCCGGAATCTGTCTCAAAGCACATGGAAGAATAAGGACTTGAAATTTATTCAATTTGTTTTTCGTTGGTTCAATTGTCTATTGATATGTGGGGTACAAATTCTAAAAATTCTACTGTTTTATTCAAATAATCTTAGTTGTCATGCTTAAAAAAGTCATCCTCATTTTTTTTAACTAAGTAATCCTCCACTATTTGATGGAAATATAACAACTTAAATACACCTTATTTTGTGCTTCTTTTATGCGAGTATAAGTAACCTAACATGTATTTTTTACTCATTATACAGAATTCCTTTCATTTGGTCACACAATTGTGGGATACTTATCTTGCAGAAGGAGATGCATTGCCTGATTTTCTTGTTTACCTATTTGCTAGCTTTCTTTTGACCGTGAGTTAACAATTATGATTTTATTTGCAATTATACTATTGGATTCATGATGTCTAATATCAGTTATAGTTCTCTATCACATAATATTGGTGCTCTTGCATTTTCAAGTAAAACAATAAATACATAGTGACTACTAAAACTATAGATTGTTAGATGATCGATTTACTAACTCAATCCAGTATATCCATTTTATTACTACCAAACAAGACAAGTAATTAATCGAACATCCAGAATCGGCTAGGAGCATCCCATTTGTAACGTTAAAGCATCAACAAGACTTGAGTTCTTGTAACTCTCTGTTTACCTCTATGGTTCTCTAATCCGACTACAAACATATTTAGTATTGCCAAATTAACCAAATACAACCTTCATTTAATAAATTAATTCTTGTAATTTCATTGTTATACATGAAATTGTGTCCTTTTATTTTATATTTAACAATTTATATTTTTTTTTTCCAGTGGTCGAATAATCTGAAAAAACTAGATTTTCAAGAGATGACAATGTTTCTATAACACCTTCCAACCCACAATTGGACAACACCTTCCAAAGCATATATGTGGCATAGCATGTTCATCAACTCTCCAAGCCACCTACTAACTAATTAGTCATATACAATCTCCTTATATCTATGACTATCTTTATTATTATTATTATTATTATTATGGATTATTAGTTTGATCATTCCCTATAGACATTTGATTTATATTTGACATAATATGTGTTGTCTACGACCTGTACATTTTTTTTCCGTTGAATCAGTTGCAATTGTATTACCAAACTATATGCAGAGTACATATAGGTCCTGATACAACGAAAGGATTACTCAAGGCAAGTAACCCTGCAGGGAATCAAAAGAACCCCCCCCCCCCCCCCAGAAACCACCACCTAACCACTCAAACCCCCCCATCCCAACCTATAGGAAACCAGCAGCATTTAAGTCCGCCTGTAATTCACTATCTTCACTACCCAAATACAATAGGTCAGAGACAATCAATCTACCAAGAGTTGCAGCATCCCTAGGAGCCATCTGATGCTGTCTACTACATCTTTCACGCCATAGATAGGCAACACATGCACACCAGAAGATTCCTGCAACCCTCTCCGTCGAGGTTCCTCTCTTGTTCAAGGCGACAGCAGCCTGCACACTCCCCTGCCAACTCGGTCCACAAAGGAGATGACCATCCTTCCAACATGAAACAACCTGCAAAGAGTAAGAACACTGAAAAAACAGGTGATTTCTGTTTTCCACCGACCCTCTGCAAAGCAAGCAGGAGCCATCCAAAGTCTTACCCCATCGTACCAACTTGTCCCTGGTAGTAATACCATCCAACAGAATCAACCACGCAAGTACACTGTTGTTAGGAAGATGTTTCTTCCCCCAAACCAGTTTTGCCCACTCCACCCTCTGATGCTCAATACGCAAAGAGTTCCAAACAGTGGATACCTTGTAGACAGGCATCAACTTACCATCCCAACTAGGCGTATCACCATCCATTGTTAGATGAGTCTGGAGTAATGGTCGAAGCTTAAGGACCCTTCTCCATGCCCAAGAACTGCTTGGACTCACATTCATAGTCCATACACTACCCTGCTTGATTCTGTATCTCCACATCCAGGCCACCCAAATTGCACCACTCTTCATCAGCATCAACCAAATCATTCGAACATAACAGGCTCTATTCCAAGCCAGGAGATCCTTGATGCCAAGTCCCCCCTCACTTTTTGGCCGAGCCATTCTCTCCCAGCCTATTCTAGCTCTACCTTCATCTCCCCCGTGCCAAAGAAACTTTGAGCAAACAGCATATACCTTCTTTTTAAAACCTTTTTAGGCAAGAGAAAAACCTGCATCCAGTATTGCAAAATGCCCATAAAGACTGAATTAATCAACTCAAGCCGACCTGCATAGCTCAGCTTCTTTGCACGCCAGGTCCCAATCTTGTGAGTGATTTTCGCAACTAATTTGTCACAGTCAGCTGAGGAAAGCTTCCTTGAGAACAAAGGAAGGCCCAAGTACCTGACAGGGAGCTTTCCCTCCTGGAAACCAGACAACTGAAGGGCATTGTTCTTGTAAAGCCCAGATACCCCTCCAAAATAAATTTCACACTTGCTCGGGTTGCATTTAAGACCAGAAAGTGAATAGAACTCACTCAACAACTCTTGAACCTTACAAATTGCTTGTGCAGAGCCTTCTGTAAAGATCAGAAGGTCATCTGCAAAGCATAGGTGAGTCAACCCTATATGTTTGCACTGAGGATGGTACACTAATTGCCTCCTAATAGCTGCTCTATTGAGAAGGGAAGACAGTCCCTCCATAGCAATGGTGAAAAGGTAGGGGGAGAGAGGATCCCGCTGCCTTACACCTCTTCTTGCTCCAAAAAACCCACAGAGGCCACTAGAGGTGGCAAATGGATTGGATTGGATTGTTGGATTCATGGATCAAATGGATTGGATCTAATGGATTGGTGGATTCATGGATTGGATCAAGTGGATTGGTGGATTATCCATGAATCCAAATGACATCCTCAATCAAGGACCAATATGTAAAATGTAAAAAGTTTAGGTACTAAAATGTCACAATGAAAAATTTTAAGTACCAAAACGTAATTTTCCAATGATATTTTTCGTATAAAAAATTAAATTTTAGGTACCAAAATGTAAAAAAATAAAAATTATAGGTACTAAACCGTAATTTGCCAATGATCCATGGATCCAATCCATTAATCCACCAATCCAATTGGATTTGGATCAAATGGATTGGATTTAAATGGATTGGATTAAGTGGATATTTTTAATGGATTGATGGATTGGATTGAAATTGCCACCTCTAGAGGCCACCATTGATGCATATACTGAATTTGCCAGTTTTAACACAGAGCTTAATCCAATACATGAACTTTTAATAGAATGGAATCAAAAAAAGTTAATAAAAAAAGAATAATAATAAATAGGGTGGTAAAAAAACTTCTTAGATACCATAGATTTTGATATGTAATAAGTTCTACCTACTATTGGATTTGAACCAATGACTCCCGCCGTATGAAAGCAATACTCTAACCACTAACAGGGAATCCCATAGTTTCCATCATTAAGAAAAGATAATCCCAACTCACCGAGTCAAACGCCTTCATCAAGTCAATTTTAATAGCACAGCGAGAGGAAAGATTCTTTCTACTGTAACTACTGACCAGCTCTTGAGCCATAAGAATGTTATCCACAATTCTTCTCCCCTCTATAAAAGCTGATTGGTTACTACTTATAATGCTAGGGAGAACTTTTTTAAGCCTATTTGAAAGAATCTTAGCAATGACTTTGTAGAGTATATTAATGCATGAAATAGGCCTGAAATCCTTAAGTTTACAGGCAGAGGTTACCTTAGGTATAAGCGAGACAGCAGCAGAATTAACACTGCTAGGCAGCCTTCCAGAGGAAAAGAAATCAATGACTGCCACTGTGATATCCTCCCCAATGATGGGCCAAGCTTTCTGAAAGAAGCCAGCAGAGAATCCATCAGGGCCAGGGGCTCGATGTGGATTCATATGCAAGACTACTGCCTTAACCTCATCAGATGTGACAGCCCCACAAAGCAT